TATTTGGACATGTGTCTCCTCCTCCATAGCCCTGACAGGGAGAGGTCTGGTTACAGCCTGACAGGCTCCCGCAACGGCGTGTACTAACACTGGGAAGAAACATCTCTATGACCTAAGCCGTAGAGATCAGCCATTAGTAGGCTGTCATTCCAGCAAGCGCTAACAGTCTTCTGGGCAGATAGGAGGAAGATTCAGCTCATGGCTTCCAACAAGGAGTTAGATTTGAGATCATTACAGTCCAGATAAATTTAGCTCCTATAAGGGTATTATGTCTAGGCTGGAGCAGAATATGGCACAATTATTGTAGTTATGTGGATAATGGAGTCAAATCTGCCCAGTGTAAAAGTGTGTCGTTTTACTTGACAGTGGTGTTCTATAACCCCAGAAGGCTGTGAGTTACAAACTTTAATATTTGGTATTAAGGAACAGATGCTAACAATAATGTAATGCTGAATGGTAAGGATGTTAACATATTGCTTCTTAATTGTGCTTACAAGCCGTCATTAAAGAAGTTGATGCACATAAATTAGATTCTTGGTGTTCTTTGCGCAGTCAGCTATGGGTGCTAATAAGTTTTAACTATCAGACTTCTATTCTACCTTAGTAAGACTACATAGATGCTTTTTTTCTTTTATTGTACCAGCTTCTCCTTAATCTCCAAACACTTGATTGGAAACTATAACAAAGTCTGTTAAATTTCTCTGTATGTGCTTCTGTAGTCAACATACAACTCTAATTGTTAAAATTCAACAGAAATAATAGAGGTAACAATGCTTACATCCCTAAATCACTGTCAGTTATTTATTTATTCATTTAATCTGAGAGGACAGTTGGGTGCACTGAGACAAAATTTTAACACACACCTAAATACCTACTGAAGAACAGACTGGTGTTCACTGTTGCATATACACTTTGAAACTGTTGGCTGCTGCTGACTAGCTGCTGGCTATCTAGTAATTTTGGCAGAGTGGAGAAACAGCAAAAAAAAAAAAAAACAACCTCTCATCTTGGAAGCTTCAGTGCAATATTATGAAATGATTACATATCATTCCTAACAGGACATACAACTGAAAAAAGCTGTATACCAGGTGGATTTTAAAAGTTTGACTGGAGTCTTAATCCACGCTCACCAATGTTACCATGACTGTAAAACTGCTGTCAGCACACTATTCCTCCTTTTTTGTCCCCTGCGAGTTGTAGTATCAGAACAACCCAGCACCACAATGTATCTGTAATCCCTGCTATGCCAAATGCCCTCAAAAATCTTCCTGCTTAGCAGTTCTCTGCCATCATCAACAAATGACAATCAAAATGGAAGATTACTTGTTTGCAAGGTGTTTGGCGGCCTTGGAATACAGAATATTTTTTGTTTTAAGTGAGTCTGTGATATGCAGCGATCTTCAGACCACATTTTTCAAATAATTTATAGACAGTCCTTCCTTGCAAATTTTCTTTTTCTCTCTGTTTGCCTCTGTTTTTTTTTTTTTAATCCTTCACTTTCTTTTTAGTTGGTCAACAGTTCCTTCACCATCATGCTGCCTATGGAGAGGAGTAATTTAAAATATGCATCCTTACAACACTCTACTTGTTATTACCCAAACACATGCACACACCCACATGTACACACACACACACACACACACACACACACACACACACACACACACACACACACAAAGATCAGGGCACATGTCACCCGAAATGCGTACCCCATGCAACAGCAGGATTGTTTCAGTATAGCAACATTTTATCCCCAGTACTTGTGCACCAGCAGCACAATGACAATAAAGGATTATCTTATTTTATCTTATATGCCAAAAAAAACCTCCCATGGTATACCTTACTTGCTTTGGTATGTTTGATGAGAGTTTGACTGAAATAGTATGCAAGCACACGCTTTCAAAAAGTTTAACTAAAAGTTCAGTTTGTCCTTATATACAGTAGGTACTGTAGAATAACAATGTAAAATTTGTTCTAGGGGGATTTAAATAACCACAGATCAGCAGTAGATTTATAAAAAGGTCCATGTAAAATGCATTTCCATATCTGTTTCCTCCAGTGAGAGTAAATCTCAGAATATCCTAATGAACAAAGTCAAAATTTCAAATCAAATTGTTTGACCAAAAGAATGAGAAATTATATACAGTATGGACTTCAATGATCCCTAGAGATTTTTTATGTCTACTATTGCAAAGTGAGAAAACTTGTCAAGTGTAACCACCACTTCCAGGCTAATGGCTGCAATGGCATCATTTATTCACTTAGCCTCACTGACTTCTATGCAGTGCTGGCCCTGCTACATTCTTGGGCCAGTGGTGGATGCTTCAAGCACTTGGCTGCAAGTGACCCTTTGGAAAGCTACTGAGTTGTCTGTGATCACAGTGAATATAACAGTGCCTTTACTGCACAATTATATTTTAAGCTACAGTAAAGATTTTAAACAATCATCTACCCTTTTGGTATCATCATATAAATGTTGGCTTATTAGATGGGAAACTAAGGAAATTCCATTGAGGTGCCTCTTATATTTTTTTATTGTGCTGTTAAATAACAAAATAAAACTGTGTCTCTGTACTGCAAACAATTACTTTGAACCTTTATAGGAAGAGCAAACCAGATGTGCTGGTGATTTGAAATTACAGTTAACTGGCATAATCCAACACATTGTTGCTCTGCATTTCTTAATCGGCATCATGTGTCCAAACTAGCACAACTTTATGAGGAGCAGGTTGTACTGAGATTAGGTATAAAGACTAACTAACAGTAGAGGGATATATAATTACCTAGGGAAGATTTTGTTAACACTGAAGTAAAAATATTAATAGCAAGTGACAGTGTGCACTTTTTTACATTTTATAATGGATGGCAAATTTGTTCGTTATAGTGTCACCCTCTCTCTCTCACACACACACTTAATACTGCTACTGTAGTAGAGGTAGGTGTTCTAATAGTAGTTTACTGTAGAAACATTTGCTCAAATATAAACAGTCCCCCAAAACAAACAAACAAAATATTGTTACAAACTTGTAAACTTCAAAATGCTCAAAAATCCTAAAACTACAGTATATATTAGAATCAGTCTGACAACTATTGCAATTATGTTCTGCATTGTGCTGCATTTTCAAAGGGGGTACAAAATGTAGTTAATAAAAAGTGTCATGATCAGGGCCAACCAGTCTGTAGGATTTGGTTTGAGTTAGACTTCACTTTGTATTCACAGAAGAACTGATGTTTTTTTTTAATACATCTTACTAATGCTGCCAGTTTTATGTTTTTACATAGATGTAAGTTATTTAAAACTCCGAGGGATAAAATGTCCTTATTATTACCTTGCAAGTTCAGCATTCTGAGGAATACCAGTGATTGGTAATTACTAAACTACTAAAAAGCTAGTAGCATGCATTTCATTAAGCAACAAATAGATGCAGAATGCATGATTCTGCTTAAATTATGCCACACTTTAATATAACTTAACATGCACAGCTGTGTCCCATTGTAACTCAAGTATTATTAAATAGTTATACATGTATGTGTTGTAAGATCAGAGAGAAAATGGTTTGTGGGAAATGCTAAAGGTACAATATATGCGCTTATAGCCCTGTTAGTAATTCAACAAGTGAATGCCTTTTCTGCATTTATTTCCAGCAGTGAATTCAGGAGCAGTCAGTACACCCATCAAACTGACCTAACATGTTCAGTTAACATAACAAACGTACATCAATACAGTAGACCTATTGAGTTTCAGCAATACCAATAAATAACACAAAATTTTCATTCCGGCGTGGTTTCAGCACCGTGGACAGCAACTACTAGATGTTCACCCTTGTAATGAGTTTTAGCACCATGGACAGCCACCACTAGAGCTTTACTGTTATATTGAATTTCAGAACTATGGACAGCAACCACCAAACGTGTTCTGGGTTATTTCAGTACCAAGGACAGCAACTATAAGACGTTGAAGCTTGTAAAGACTTTCAGCACCACGGACAGCAACCACCAAACGTGTTCTGGGTTATTTCAGCACCAAGGACAGCAGCTACTAGACGTTGACGCTTGTAAAGACTTTCAGCACCAGGGACAGCAACCACAAAACGTGTTCTGGGTTATTTCAGTACCAAGGACAGCAGCTACTAGACGTTGACGCTTGTAAAGACTTTCAGCACCACGGACAGCAACCACCAAACGCGTTCTGGGTTATTTCAGCACCAAGGACAGCAGCTACTAGACGTTGACGCTTGTAAAGACTTTCAGCACCACGAACAGCAACCACCAAACGTGTTCTGGGTTATTTCAGTACCAAGGACAGCAGCTACTAGACGTTGACGCTTGTAAAGACTTTCAGCACCAGGGACAGCAACCACAAAACGTGTTCTGGGTTATTTCAGCACCAAGGACAGCAGCTACTAGACGTTGACGCTTGTAAAGACTTTCAGCACCACGGACAGCAACCACCAAACGTGTTCTGGGTTATTTCAGTACCAAGGACAGCAGTTACTAGACGTTGACGCTTTCAGCACCACGGACGCCCACCACCAGGGTTTCACTTTGAGGTAGAGCAAAAGCACTCCACAAAGCTTCACCTATGATGGATTGTAAGATGAGAGAGTTTCTTAGAGAGTCGTTCTAAGTTTACAGTGAATACAGTCACGTTGTATTTTATACAAAGTACACAGCCTAAACATGGAAGTGTGACACATTCTATACAACTCAGCGCCTTCTCACTTTGTTGAGGTTTCATTCTTTACAAAATTTTTTACAGCATATTTGCTCATAAATCATTAAAGCTTTCCTCTTTTTTCCTGTATATTTAGTAACGGACACGTTCTACCCACAGCCTTGGTGTCAATATTTACCTATCAGCAGCGAAAAGTCACGACACCTCTTCATATCCTTACAAACCCTCAGTTCCCTCGCCTTCCGCTTCATACAGTCGGGTCCCACCCCTTACCGTCTGCCATGACCGTCCTCTACAATACGAGACTGTATTCTATGTACCTCCCCTTTCTCACCCTTAGTCTGTGCATCCCAGCCTTCCTTCCTAGATATCCATCCCACACCTCTCCATCCGCAAACAGCTCTTACGGTGGGAAAAGAGAGAGAGATAGAGTGAAAGAGAGAGAACAGAATAGTCTTAAACACGTCGGCATAAATCTCACACCCAGAGCTCCCTTTCTTCCTTTCCCTCCTGACGGACTTCATTACTTTATTTCTCTGCGCGCCAATGCCCAATACCACGCCGAAACGAAGGATTTTTTGAGCATGAAAAGGATTGCCAAATCATCCGCAATCCAACATCACGGACTGAGCCACCAGCATGAGCACTGGATACATATGCTCCAACAGAAGTTGTTGGTTAGAGAACTAACAAGTCTTGGACCACAAATACAGCTAAAAGGGGAGAGTCAGTTTTAGGTAAGTACGAGTTGGATCTCTAACAACGTAGCATGGAGGTGCATGCTACTGAGGTGGCTGGTGGTGTTCTTTCAGGATGGAGGCTTTTTTTTTTTTCTTTCTCACTATGAAGCTACCTTTTAAACAATCAGTGTGCAAGTCATTTCCACCTCCGCCCGGACTGAATGTCGACGAAGCGTTCCTAAACTACTAAAAATTATATCAGGCGTGTTATAATCGTATTAAGGCATCATCTCCTAACATTATGCAGATGACTTATTCTTTCGATTATGTGCACTGGACTGCTTTCTCTCTGCACGTTGTGAGAGAGCATCTTCCCGAGGTGACGCTGCAGACGTGCGGATATGAAAGGACATTAAACACCAGTAGAAACAATGATCTCAGAATTTTGGGTTCATACATTACACAGACCTCTCTCGGTTTCATTGAACGCCGTTACAGCGGCAACATTCGGAGTGAAGGTGGATTAGCAGGCCTGCAGAACACTGTGCAGTCGGCACCTGTATTTGTATTCAAGATCATTCCGTTTGCAGTCCAGTCGTGGTTTTTTACATCCACGTTGACAAGTTCATTCCGGAAACGGCAATAACTCGGTGTCATCGCGGCTTGGATATTAGATATGAAATGAGTTACAATCATGCTTCCTACATAAATATATATAATCTTCTAGATGTTATGGATGAATTACTGCCCGTAATGACTTCTATAAAAGCAGTCAAAGATACTTAACTGGGCCTATGTTTATGTGTACGTGATGATCTCTCTTGTACATGGCACCACCGAGGGCATGAGTGTGCGTGCATGAAAGCAAGTGCGTACGCGTGTGTGTGTGTGTGTGCGCGCGCTCATACGTGTGTGTGTTTCCAGTGAGGCAAAGTTGCCATTCCGTGTTCCCCCGAGTTGCTTTGATTGCTGTTCCTCTGACTAACTGCGAGGGGAGCTCCTGCTCTTTTACAGTAGGTGTCATTATGTGGCTAAAGGCAAGATAATTGTGTATGATACTGATACCAACTCTATGAAATTAGAGAAGCGGCTTGTGTTTGAAATTGGTCCGGAAGCGTTTATCTGCACTTCCATGACTGCCACTGCAATTTTCGTTTTGTTTGTCATTGTTTCTTTGTGGGACATGGGCCTAATTAGCTACGATCAAGTAAATTTTACACATATATGCACAGAAAAATGCACTTAAGGCTGCATGATTGCCAGGTTTGGAGTTGAATCTCATAAAAAATTGGCCATAATAATCAATGCTGTTAAGCTTAACCTTTAAAGAGCATGTGTCGAAAGTGCCTGTGTGACATATGAATATTCCTGCTTATTGAATTTTAAACTTCAGGGTAAACTTTAATTCTTGAAATGGATATACTGGTAAGATGTCAGTATATTGTACAATATTGTTGTGTCGCCTTCTCCACACGTGCGGTGCAGAAAATTGCACTAGCAGCCGAAATTGCAGAAGAAAAGCTGCCTTATTCAATATGCCTCTTTCAATCTGGTGGCCTTTTCAATGGCAAAACGCAGCAACATGTAATCATTTTCTGAGGGAAAGCATTCCACATCACATTGCCAAAATGAAAATGCCAGCAGTGGCTTAAAGCTATATTTCTGTCATGGCTTTAGATGACCCAGTGCTGATGATGCTTTCAAGGACCGAAAAGAGAGCATTCAACAGCAGAGGTCCTTTTACAGACATTGGCAGTTAATGATGAATTGTCTGAAAGGAATATGACTATCCTAAAAGCCAATGAAATAAAGACCCATAACTATAATTAGAAAGAATAGATGGTGGAATTTATGCAGCACCCTATGAATATAGTGGTGCTCCACCACCCTTGTGCATGGATAAGGATATTATTTATGAACAGACTTTGTGGTGGAGCGCAAACAGTACTAGTCTTGTACTGGCAGAACTTACTAGCTCTCTCTCTCTCTCTGTATTCTTGTATTGGCATTGCATTGTTTTTATGTGGGTGCTGGCTGCAGCTGTAGTGGCCAGAAGGCTGCCTCCCAAGAGGTCTAAAAAAATGTTTTTATCAGAAACAAACAACAGGGTCACATAATGACATGTGACAAAATCTCACAGAAATGCTGGCGAGCTTACAGTACTTTGAAAAGGCAGCTGAATCATTTGACCTCCACTAGGGGCTGTGTTTGACCTGAGTCCCATAAGACCATATGAGTATTACCATGCTCATAAAATATGATTTTAAAGAATTTAATTTTCAGCCTGAGGTTTATCAGTCACCTCTCCCTCAGCCCCTTGTACATTTAAGTAATTGTTTAAAAAAGGACTTATTGTGAGAGATGGAAACCATGGTTTTGTGAAGGTACATTTTGAAATTCATAGTTGGATTTAATTTAACTCATGATTTGCCCACGGTATGAACCCTTGGGGGAGCTCAAAGCGGGCTCCAAAAATCATCACAACAGAGCCAATTTATCATTATAAATTATTAAAACATTCAGTACACACAATTATTCATCTGAATACAGTTGTCTCTCTGTAGTCCCTCTGAATATTCTTCTTTTTTCCGCTCACATTGGGAGACCATGGTTTGAATGTTTGTTAGTGAACATTTTATGATACAATAAAAAATTAAATTGCACATGAGAAGTTAATGAGCAAACAGAAATGTATTATTTATTAGATAAATATATACTGTATGCACCTTTGTTGATTGCTGATGAACCTGAAAGCGATGCTACATAAAAATCATTCAATATTAACTAAATTTGCAGAAGTTAGTACTGGAAACATAGATTTGGCAATGTCTTCTAGGGCCTTGAGTGTCATTGGTCACAAAATTGCAATCACAATATCAGCTAATGATACTGGCATGGCTGGAATATTCAGGCTAGTGTGTACCATCAGTGGTTGTTGAATGTTTGTAACTGCCAACAAGTATTAAAAAAATCTTTTTTACTTATTACTTCTGAAGACCTCTGCTTTCTAATGTGTAAAATCAGGCCTTGCGTATTTGGATAGCACACCCACACTCTTCTGCACACTACGCATCTTGACCTAACATTTGGCACTGAAGTTGCTGGGGAGGAGACACTGGAGAGAAAAGTGAAGCTAAATTGAGCCTCTACAAACCTGACCCTTCAGTCATTAAGCACTGCCAGGGAGTTCAGTTATTACTCCCTTAAAATATGATAACTCTGACAACACAGTAATAACTACAGTAATTTATCTTGCCTGACACTACGCTGGTCTTTGCCCACTTGGTGTATTAGAATTTCTTTTGCCTTGTGTTACTGTAACTAAAAAGGGGAGAGGTGTTTTGATTTCCTGTGGTCTTGGACATCACAGAATAATGGAAGTCTGCACTGGCCAGCAACTGAACATAGAACCTTTAACTTAATTTGCCTCACTGTTGCCTCCCATGTTTTCTCTAGCAATATAATATGAGCTGTTTCAGTCTAGAAGATGTCACTGAGGTTTTTAAAAAAAACAAAATTCAATCTTTTCAATTGTAAAATATCTTAAGGCACCAATTTGTATGGAGATTAAATGCAGCTGTGACCAGGATTTGGTAATCGACAATGCTGTTGTGGAGATTTCTTTCCCACCTCTATTTGTTGGGTCATTTTGTGGGTAGTAATGGTATAAAATACAAAATGTGATGCTGTTAAGATGTATATTTTATCATGTTTGTCATATATGTATGTCAGAAATATCTAACTCGTGTCCAACATGTTTATATCCTGTTCATTTGTGGGAAAAAAAAATCCCTCTGGATGATTTGACATGATCATTGTTTTGACTTTAGTCCCACGGATCTCGTTCATTGTTGTTTGCGTCAATATTTCTATGGATCAAATGACAATATATTATGTGGGAAAACAAAATCCCTCTGGATGATTTGACATGATCATTGTTTTGACTTTAGTCCCACGGATCTCGTTCATTGTTGTTTGCTTGTTCAGAGAACTTCTTGAAGAATTTGTGGAGACAAAAACAGCTCCAGAAGAGACGACTAAATGTACATCCATTAAGCAAAAACTCTAGATAAATGAGCATTGTTCCAGTGTGTAAATGCTAAGCCACTGCTTTCTGTGTAAATATCCCACAGCCTCTTGCACTGGCCAATGGACATTGTAAATGCATTAAAACTTCATCACATGTCCAGCTCATCACTCTATATAGAGATTAAAGAAAACCTTTACCTTATTTTCCTAATTTTAGTCATTACATTCAGGATTTGCTCACCATAAAAACACATCCTTTCAACACAACAGTACCTACAGGGTCCACTCACACAGTGTAAATTATTTGCTTCTAAATTCATGCTTTCATAAGTTGGTGCATAAACCTCCACACTTCAGCGGTGCACATCCAACTGTTTGGTTATAGGCCAGTGTTTTTGTGGTACAGCATCCAGGCTTTAAAGGCAATACGAGCGCAATAACTTATTTAAAATTTTCATGGTCATGTTCAAGTGCACTAGTACTGCACATTTGCCCTGGCCCTTGTAATTTGTTTCATGAAAAATGATCATAGCAGCTTAAACTCTGAAGCTGTTATCATCATGCCTAAAACACACAAACTGTCACAAGGAAGTGAGTCAAAAATAAAAAAAAAGTGATGAATTCTATTAATTCTTTCACACGTACTCTTATAGTTTATAAACAAGCCTAAAATAATATTTATTTCTGTGAGTCAGCTAAGTGCCTGCCAGGATGAAAAGCCACATTTTAAGATGTGAATAATCATGGGAAGATGATCTTTTAGAAAAATCTTAATTAGTCATCTCACAGAGAAGGTTTTAATCTTTTCCAATCTTCCTTGTGCTGACTAGCAAGCGAGAAGCACTTTCTACTGAAACATTGTGGGTACACCCAACTATTCTTTAGGAATAGGAAAACATGCTAAAACATTTTGAATAGTCCTGTATTTATCATACGAAGCCTGGGTGGAGATGAGAAACTGCTATTTTGAGTACATACTGTATGTCCCAGTTTTGAAAAATTAAACAGTGGAGCAGTCATTGGAGAAG